ACAACTCTAGATGCTGTGTGACCTCTAAGAGTTTAGTGTGTCACCTCTTCATCACATATCACCTCACTTGACTCTCAAAACACTATTGTGAGGTATCTAGGCAGGATTTGGGGGGGGGCAAGAATTTTTATTCTCATCAGCAATAAAAAGAGAATGAGAAAACCAAGAATTTGAGAGTCTGGGACTTATGCAGAGGGGAGGGTGGCAGGGGTGGAAAGTATAACAAAGAAATATCCTACAAATATTATATGGGAATTTCAAATGAGACAAAGCCAAGCCTTGTTAAATGAATGGACAAAAAAGTAATGTTTGAATGGATGAAGGAGAAACTGAATTCAGAGTAAGACTGAAATTTTGGGGCCAGGGACTTAGCTCAGTGGTGCTGCCGCCTGCCTAACAAGCACAAGTCCTGAGTTCCATCCCCAGTACCAAAATAAGTGAATTTTTTAATGTAAATGCTTTGCAGAATTTATATGCAGAATTAGCACATCCATCACTGCTGAATTTTACAAGACATTTAGAGAAGAACTACTACCATTACTCTTCAAACTTTTCAATGAAATTGAAAGGGAAGCTATACTTCCAAATTCATTCCTGGAAGCAAGTATCACTTTGATTCCCAAACCAGAGAAAGATACAACCAAAAAGGAGAACTACAGACCAATCTCCTTAATGAATATAGATGCAAAAATCCTTAATAAGATACTAGCAAACAGAATACAGAGGATTATTAAGAAGATCATCCATCATGACCAAGTCGGATTTATTCCAGAGATGCAAGGGTGGTTCAACATATGAAAGTCAGTGAATGTAATACATTGTATTAACAAACTCAAGGACAAAAACCATATGATCCTCTCAATAGATGCAGAAAAAGCATTTGATAAAATTCAACACCCATTCATGATAAAAACCCTGCAAAAAATTGGAATAGATGGTCTATACCTCAATTTAATAAAGGCTATTTATGAAAAACCATCAGCCAACATCATATTGAATGGCCAAAAACTGAAAACCTTCATGTTAAAATCAGGAACAAGACAAGGATGCCCACTATCACCACTTCTCTTCAATATAGTTCTGGAAACATTAGCCACAGCAATTAGACAAGAGAAAGAAATTAAAGCAATAAAGATAGGAAAGGAAGAAGTTAAACTATCATTATTTGCTGATGATATGATACTCTACATTGAAGATCCAAAAAACTCCACCAAAAAACTTCTAGACTTAATTGACAGATTCAGTAAAGTATCTGGATACAAGGTGAATACCCAAAAATCAATAGCCTTTCTATACACAAATAACAGACAGACAGAAAGAGAAATAAGGGAAAAAATTCCTTTTACAATAGCATCCAAAAAAATGAAGTATCTAGGAATCAATCTAACAAAAGAAACAAAAGATCTCTACACTGAAAACTACAGCACTCTGAAAAAAGAAATCGAAGAGGATATAAAAAAATGGAAAGATATCCCCTGCTCCTGGGTAGGAAGAATCAACATAGTGAAAATGGCCATACTACCGAAACTGCTATATACATTCAATGCAATGCCAATTGAAATTCCAACACTATATTTCACAGAACTAGAAAAAAGAATCCAAAAATTCATTTGGAACCACAAGAGACCTAGAATAGCAAAAGCCATTATAGGCAACAGTCACATGGCACCAGGTGTAACAATTCCCAATTTGAAACTATACTACAAAGCCACTGTGATAAAATCAGCATGGTACTGGCAAAGAAATAGGCCTGAGGATCAATGGAACAGACTGGAAGACACAAAAACAAATGCAGATGTACTCAGCTACCTCATCTTCGACAAAGGAGCTCACCATCCTCAGTGGAGGAAAGATAGCCTCTTTAATAAATGGTGTTGGAAAAACTGGATATCAACCTGTCACAGATTAAAATTAGACCCTTATCTTTCGCCATGCACTAAATTAAAATCCAAATGGATTAAAGATCTAAATATTAAAACAGAAACATTAAACTTGCTGGAAAGTAAGTTAGGCAGAACTCTGGAAGACATTGGTATAGGAAAAGACTTTATGAACAAATCCTCAGTAGCACGGGAACTAGCAGAAAGAATCAACAACTGGGATCTCATCTTACTAAAAAGCTTCTGTACTTCAAAAGAAACCATTAGCAGAACTAAGAGACAATCTACAATGTGGGAAAAAATTTTTACCAGCTGTACCTCAGACAAAGGACTATTATCAAGGATATATAAAGAACTCAAAACAATCAGTCCCCCCAAATATAAAGACCCGATCCAAAAATGGGCATCCGAAATGAACAGACATTTCTCATACAAAGAAGTGAAAGCAGCAAGAAAATATATGAAAAAATGTTCCACATCACTGGTCATTCGAGAGATGCAGATGAAAACAACACTGAGATTCCACCTCACCCCACAAAGAATGGCTGCTATCAAGAAATCACACAATAACAAATGTTGGCGGGGTTGTGGGGAGAAAGGAACCCTCCTCCATTGTTGGTGGGAGTGCAGACTAGTGCAACCACTATGGAAATCAATATGGAGATACCTCAAAGAGCTTGGACTGGAGGTTCCATTTGACCCAGCCATCCCTCTGTTGGGTATCTTTCCAAGAGAACTAAAAGAATCATATCACAGAGAAGTATGTGCACCCATGTTTATAGCGGCACAGTTTGTAATAGCTAAATCTTGGAAACAACCTATTTGCCCATCCGTTGGAAACTGGATAAAGAAGTTGTGGTTTTTCTATAAAATGGAATATTACTCAGCCATAAAGAGCGAGAGAATAGATTCATTCATAGGAAAATGGATACATATTGAAGATATACTCCTAAGTGAAATAAATAAGTCCCACATGTGTAAATACCAAATAGTTTCCCTGGTGTGAATATTCTGCAACAATGCATAAGATTCTAATAAGATTACTGACATTTAGAAATTTGAAGAAAGGAGCTAAAGGTGTAGGGATGGTGTGATGCGTAGGGGAAGAACAAAAAGGGAAAAGAAAAAAATGTGAGAGAATGAAAAGATGAAAATAAAGTGTTTGTAGATGGGGAGGGGAGGAGGGGGTGAAGGGAGGGCAGAGGTAAGGGGAAAAAATGAGAATCAAGACTTGCCATGTAGAGGTACATGATCCCAACAATGAATGTAACTGTACTGTATCCCTAAAATGTACCAATAAACTCAATAAAATTAAAAAAAAAAAAAAGAATTGGCACATCCAGTCCACTTCTATCCAAGGCATCAAATTGCAGCTATTGTTTGCTTAGTCTGCAAAAATAACCACCCGATATCCCGGAAGCTTAATACCAATTCTCAATAGCTTTAGATGATGGATAAGTAGAAGATTAAAGTATGGGCAACAGTCGAACTCTGATATCTATAACTGATATTTTGAAAAGCTAAAACATGTTCAATTCCTGATCATGGCAATTTGCAAGATTGAATAGCATAGCTAGCCTGTTAATTCAAACTGAAAACATTCCACAAATTTAATAATTTCACAGTGTTCTAAGACTCAAGTGAGGTTCTTTCCTTTTGATTTATAAAATTAGACTACAAAGAAAATTTGAGTGGGAGTGCAGATTGGTGCAACCACTGTGGAAATCAATATGGCGATACCTCAAAGAGCTGGGACTAGAGGTTCCATTTGACCCAGCCATCCCTCTGCTCAGTATCTTTCCAAAAGAATTAAAAGAGTCATATCACGGTGATATATGTGCACCTATGTTTATAGCAGCACAGTTTGTAATAGCTAAAACTTGGATACAGCCCATTTGCCCATCAGTTGGAAACTGGATAAAGAAGATGTGGTTTTTCTATAAAATGGAATACTACTCAGCCATAAAGAATGAGAAATTAGAGTCATGCATAGGAAAATGGATACATTTTGAGGATATACTCCTAAGTGAAATAAATAAGTCACACATGTGTAAATACCGAATAGTTTCTCTGGTGTGAAAAACTATAATAGTACATAAGATCCTAATGAGATAATTGACAATGTGAAATAGGCAGAAACGGGCTAAAGGTGTAGGGAAAGTGGGAAGGGTAGGGGGAAGGTAAGGGAAAAGAAAACATAAGAGAAAATGAAAAGATGGAAATGAAGTGTTTGTAAACAGGGAGGGAAGGAGGGGTTGAAGGGAGGGCAGGGACAAGGGGAAAAAATGAGAACCAAGACCTGTCATGTAAAGGTACAAGATCCCAGTAATGAATGTAACTGTTCTCTATACCTAAAATGTACCAATAAACTCAATTTAAAAAAAAAGAAAGTTTGAGGATATTCTCAACTTGGATACCAGGTGAGCAGTAAGTCAAACTAAAAACAATAGTCGTGATTTTGATGTTTTCTTCATTTGGAAAGTATTAGAAGAACAAAATAATAAATTTTAAAAATAATTTTGTGATTTGAAGGAAGAAGAAAAAGGAAAGTAAAATACAAAAATACTAATCTCTAGGGCCGGGGATTTAGCTCAGTGGTTCTGCTGCCTGCCTTGCAAGCACAAAGACCTAAGTTCGATCCCCAGTGCCAAAAAAAAACCAAAACAAAACAAAACAAAAATACTAATCTCCTACTGTTACAAAACACAACCCATCCCACTACCTTTATCACTGCTACAGTGAAAGTTCAAAGATTGGCATTTGAGACCTCATTGTCTCGGCAAAACAGCCTCTTCTGGGGCAGGGGATTTGGCTCAGTGGCTCTGTGCTTGCCTCATAAGTGCAAGATCCTGAGTTCGATCACTGGTACTGGAAAAAAAAAAAAACCCCTCTTTCGTATATCACCAAGTCCCATCAATTCTATCAACAAATATACCTCAGTCTCTATCACCTTTATGGCCCGAGCTGCTGTAATAGTTTCTTAACAGGCCCCTTTCTTCTCTGGCCCCTCCAACCTGTCCTCATAGGAGCTGTGGTGATTTCTTACGAGTCATTTCAATGGTATCATGACTTGCTTGGTTACTTACCCAATATCCACTCTCCTTACCCACAATGCCCCAGTTAAGTAGTAACTATGCCATTTGATCTTGAATCTCAGGTTAAGGCAATGCCTTAACTGTATGCATGTTGTCAGGCCTGAGGGCCTCTTCCATCCTTATCAAGGACAGTGCCAACCTTTCATACAACACAGCCATGCCATTTGAGATTTACCCCAATCCTAGCTCCAAGGAGGGGGGAGTCCTAATTGGACTTAAAACTTCCCTTTCACTGCAGAGATTGAGTTAAGGTTAGGCCATTAGTAGACCTCAGCTAAAAGTGCATAGCAATCCCCTAGTTACTGGCTAGCCCAGATTGATTCAATCAAGAGGAAAGCTGTTTTTTTAAAAATTACTTAGAGAAGCTAATATTGCCCTTTCCTAATGGAAAAACAAAAAAAATCTTAAATTCTAACAAACCTATCTTGCAACATTGAGAGAAAATAGGCATGGATTTCCAAAGAGAATTTCTAAGAAAGAAGCCAAAATTCTCCAACCAAAGGCAGTCCTCTGGACTTTTTGGTTATTCAGGCCAATAAATCCCCTCTATTGTTTAAATGGAGCCTTTAAATAGAGTTTCTGATACATACAGTAAAAACTTCCTAGCAAACAGATGGCTTTCTTCATGAACATGGTATCAACTCTAAACTTATAGGACCAACTCTATCCTAAAATATTTTCCTGAGTGCCTGCTACTCTCCAGGCGCCCAACTCTTTTTGTTTATTAAATATGAAACCTCACTTTCCCCCACCTCAGTATTTCTTGCACATTTGGCTCTGCATATATATTTGCCCCTGCTGTTTATGTTAATGCCTCTTTACCTTCTAGGCCTCAGCTAAATTTTATCCTTGTAAAAAAATAAATAAAAAATTATCTCCTTGTACTGACCCAGGCATTGTGTGTTGGATCAATCTGTCTGGCCAGAGCAGTTTCCAATTCAGCAATGACGTGAGAATAGAAGAGGGCGCAGGGCAGGGAACCAGCTGAAAATGGGCTTGGGTACCACAAGCAAATATTGCAATTGGTCTCTTCATACTCTTTCTGGGACCACATTGTACAATGCATAGGGAGGAAGGTGAATGGAGAGTTTCATTCATACGTATCCCAGGCGGCTGCTCTCCATGAGACACAAGCCATAGTAAAGAAGGCCTCGGGCTGGAAGCTGGGGCAGACTGGTAGGTGACTGGAAGGTGGAGAGACCGGCAAGGCGGTGAAGAACTTGGACAGTGATTCAGGGCTCAGACGGAACACGCTGGTCAACACAGGACAGGTGAAGGGGACTTAGAGGATGTGTTGTACAACAGACAATATAGAAGGTGTCTCCCTATTATGGTTCAAGTCACGATTCCTCCAAGAGCCTCCCATGCTCGTAGATGGGGCTTTTGGAGGGTTAGTGAATCATGCGATATTACAGCTGGCTGCTCTTAGGAGCGGGGGCCTTGTTGGAAGTGGTGGATCACTGAGCATGTGTCCCAGAAGGTTGCATCTCCCTCCCCAGCTCCTTCCATCTTTGCTTCCTGGCTGCCATGATGTGAGCAGCTTTCTGCCTTCCTGCTGTAGAGCCAGTCAACTGGACCAGAAACATGAACCAAAACACACACCTGGGTATATATGTGTAGTTCAACTCTGTCGAGACAATTTGACCTTTGTTTTTAAATCTCCAACCGATTGTTCAATGTGAAATTTTAATTATCAACTTTTGGGAGATTATCACTTTTTTTTAATTATTAAGTTTATTGGTACATTTTAGGTGTACAATACAATTACATTCATGACTGGGATCTTGTACCTTTACATGACTTATCTTTGTTCTTATTTTTTCCCCATTCCTGGCACCCCCTTCACCCCCTCCACCCTGCCGTGTTTACAAAGACATTGTTTCTATCTTTTTCCTTTCTTCATATTTTTTCATTTCTCCTTTTACTTTTTTCCTACTCCTCCCACTTCCCTTTTTTTTTCTTTGGGGGGGTACTGGGGAGAAACTTAGGTCCTTGCACTTGTAAGGCAGGCAGCGGAACCACTGAGCTAAATCCCTGGCCTTTCCCTTACTCTTTTAGACCTTTTCTTTCTATTACACAATATCAATTATACATTTTGATCCTTATACTTTTAGTTTTTCACACCGGAAAAACTATTCAGTATTGACATGTGTGACTTATTAATTTCGCTTGAGTATGTCCTCAGTGATGTTGATCCACTTAGCTATAAATATCTCTAGTTGCTCATTCTTTATGGCTGAGTAGTACTCCATTTTATTCTAAAAACACATCTTCTTTATCCAGTCTCTAGTTGATGGACACTTGGGCTGTTTCCAAGTTTTAGCTATTACAAACTGTGCCGCTATAAACATGGGTGAGCATATATCACTGTGTTATGATTCTTTTATTCTTTTGAGAAGATACTGAGCAGGGTACTAGCTGGGTCAAATGGGACTTCTAATCCTAGTTGTTTCAGGTATCTCCATACTGATTTCCACAGTGGTTGCACCAGTCTGCAGTCCCACTTACAATGCAGAAGGGTTCCTTTCCCTCCCACAACCTCTCCAGCATTTGTTATTGGTTGATTTCTTGATAGCAGCCATTCTTGCTGGGGTGAGGTGGAATCTCAGTGTTTTCATCTGCATCTCTCGAATGACCAGTGATGTTGATCACACTACTCTTCTAAATCCAAAAAGAGTATGAGATAACCTGGTAGCTTAGTATCAGAATGATGCAGACGCCCGTGATCGCAAGAGGCCAGGGAAGCCCTGGATTTGTCTACTGTCTTCCACTGTCCTTGATTATTCTTTTACCCCTTCAGTGATGAAAACCTGACGTACATTTTCAGAATGTACTTCTCTGCAACAGTGCTCCTCAAAGTGTTGTCAGGGACCGGGGATTTAGCTCAGTGGTTCCACCACCTAATGCAGGGCTCAGTTCCAGCAGCCAGGGCAAAGCCAGTCACAGACTGGTTTGTGGTTTGTGCCTGGCACTGTACTTCCAGTTGCTCCTATCTGGATCTTAAGCTCCTTAAAACTCCAGGAGCAGTTTATCATTTCTGATAAAATTTACTGACACTAGAAAAAAAAAATTCCTCACAAAGATCAATTGACAAGGGCTCTGCAGTAAAGTCTTAATGTTCCACTTGGATGTGCTATGAAATGGTGGGCCACAGGACCCCTGGGTGATAGTTCAGTGACAAACGGATAGACATAAACTTCAAGTTGAAATTTAGTGTCTCCTTTTCCTACTGAAGTTCTGAGGCAACAATGAAATATTCCTTTTCGCCTCTCCAAATTCCTACCTCACCATCATTGAGTAGCTTAAGCTCTGGAAAGAGCTTTCTAGGGTATCTTTCATCTTTGCCCACTTTTTTCCTTAGTGACACAATAGTAATTTAAAACCTCCCTTGAAACCGAGGACAGTATCAACCATGTTTTTTAAATGCCTTGGCTAATGAAATTCTTTTTCTCGCTAGCACTTGGCAGACAGTACAATAACCTGGGCCATTCAAACATCGTGCACACAATAATCACGAACTTACCATGCGGAGGACCTCCAGAAATTCCTTTGTTTTGAATATTTGGACTTTACAGAAATGGTAAGTTTACATGGGTCAAGTACGATTATTAAAAGTTACAGGGTAAAAATGAGCTGGCAGCACACATCATGGCACGATGAAGACTGACGTTAGACACCTCGTGTGTAGGTGGCAGAGCTGACGTCAGTGCTCGCCGTGCCCACCAGCTGGGTAGTGACTGTGACAGAGTGAGGTGGGCGAGGCTGGGACTGCGGTGACGGGAGGGCGCTCTGTCGACTGGAGCATCCGACGCCCAGGCCCAGATGGCCAAATTCGCTTTTCCAAAGAAGTCAGAAATCTGGATTTGTATGTGAAATTTCCTAATGTTTTAATTCCTCAGGGCTAATTCCAGTGTGATATCTGTGATATAATAGAATAAGAATTCCAATAATCAACAATAAATGTAAATAATTCACATTGTCAGTAACAGAATAAGTAATTCTATTGGTTATAGGCCAAAATTTTATTTGTGTGTGGTTCTAAGGATGGAACCTAAGGCCTTCACACTGAGCTGCATCCCCAACCCTTCATATAATTTTTATTTTTATTCTGAGACAGGGTCTCACTAAACAGTTAAGTTGTCGAACTTATGATCCTTCTGCTTCAGCCTCCCAGAGTACTAGGGTTGCAGGCGTGTGCCTCCATGCCCGGCTTAGAGCAGTATTCTTAAAAGTGCATACACCAAGAGTGGTTTTCTAAAGCTTTTATTTAATGTGACATTTGTAAAATACATAGTACACATGTATCTACATATTAAATTGTGATAAATAAAGAACAAGTAGGGCTGGGGATTTCGCTCAGCGGTTCGGTGGCCCACCTTGCAAGTGCAAAGACCCGAGTTCAATCCCTGGTACCAAAAAAAAAAAAAAAAAAAAAAAAAAAAGAGCAAGTATGCAGTAGTCTGTCAGCACCTGTGAGAGATTTGTTCCAGGATGCTTAAGTTTACCAGAATCTATGAACCTTATATAAAACCGAATAGTGTTTGCCTATTAGCTATACACGTCCTCCTGTGTGCTTTAAATCATCTCTAGATTATTTATAATACAAAGTTAAAGTTATGTTAATAGTTATGGCACTGGATTGTTTAGAGTATAATGACAAGCAAAACTGTCATCAATGGGCACTGACGGCAGCTCTGCATAGAAACTGCAACTCCATAATACATCAGGGAGCAATGGTTTTCAAACTTCAGTACATTCAAAGCATTTCTTTCAAATAGATATTTCTAGCCTTCACACTTTGGTGTTCTGAGATGCGGGGTCAAGTATGGGAGGGGGCGTCTGTATTTTTTCACTAAGGCCTTGACTGATTTTGAGTCATTTGTTACAAGAACAGGCTCTTGAGTCAAATCTTGTTCAAATCTTAGCTCTGATACTGTCACCAGCCATGTTACTTGGAGAAAGATAACTGAAACTTCCCAAAGCCTCAATTTTCTAATCTATAGAATGAAGTAGTGATAATGGTTAGTTCATACACTTGTAAAATAGTGCTTAGCACTTAAAAAGATTCAATAAGTTTTCATTTTTTACTGTGGTTAATTTATTCTTAAATCCTGCGGGAGGTATCTGGAATATTCCCAGGGCAATGTAAGCTG